AAATGTCAGTTGCCACAACTCTGACCATTTTTCTAGTTTACCTAAATCATTTGCCATTTGGCTTATCCCTCCTGGAACATCAACCCTGTTACATATCTTAGTATCATCAGCAAAAAGACATACCTTACCATCAAGACCTTCTGCAATATCACTAATAAAAATATTAAAGAGAATGGGTCCAAGTACAGATCCCTGAGGTACCCCACTGGTGACAAGTCCAAGCTTCGAATATATTCCATTAACTACAACCCTCTGTTGCCTGTCACTCAGCCACTGCTTTACCCATTCAACAATATTGGAATCCAAACTTAAAGATTGCAGTTTATTGATAAGCCTTCTATGTGCAACAGTGTCAAAAGCCTTACTGAAATCTAGGTAAGCAATGTCTACTGCACCACCCTGATCTATAATTTTAGTTACCCAATCAAAAAAATCAATAAGATTAGTTTGGCATGATCTCCCTGAAGTAAACCCATGTTGTCTCTGATCTTGAAATCCATGTGTTTTAGATGTTCATCAATCCTATCCTTTAACATGGTTTCCATCACTTTCCCCACTACTGAAGTAAGGCTTACTGGCCTATAGTTGCCCGACTCCTCCCTATTACCTTTCTTGTAAATGGGCACAACATTCGCTAACTTCCAATCTTCTGGGACTACTCCTGTTAACAATGATTGGTTAAATAAATCGGTTAATGGTTTTGCTAGTACACCACTAAGCTCTTTTAATAGCTTTGGGTGTATTCCATCAGGTCCCATTGACTTATTTGTCTTTACTTTTGACAGTTGAAATAGAACCTCTTCCTCTGTAAACTCACGTGTAATAAATGACTCATTTATCCTTTTTCTCAACTGAGGTCCCTTTCCTTCATTTTCTTCTGTAAATACAGAACAAAAATATTCATTGAGGCAGTCAGCCTGACCTTTATCCTCTTCTACATACCTTCCTTCTTTTGTTTTTAATCTAACTAATCCTTGTTTTACTTTTCTTTTCTCATTTATGTATCTAAAAAATGTTTTATCCCCTTTTTTACTGACTGTGCTATTTTCTCTTCTGTGTGTGATTTGGAAGCTCTTATAACTTGCTTAGCCTCTTTCTGCCTAATCTTATAGATCATTTTGTCTTCCTCACTCTGGGTTTTTTTATAATTCCTAAATGCTAACTTTTTGTTTTTAACTATTTTGGCCACATCTGCGGAGTACCACAGTGGTTTCTTGAATTTTTGCTTTTACTGACAAGCCTAATGCAATTTTCTGTTGCCTTCAATAGTGCAACTTTTAAATAATCCCATTTTTCTTGGACTCCATTTAAATTGCTCCAGTCTGATAATGACTCCTCTACCCATATTCTAATTTTAGAAAAATCTGTTTTTCTAAAGTCTAAAACTTTTGTTTTTGTGTGGTGTGACTCAGTCACTGTTCTTATATTAAACCACACTGACTGATGATCACTGGATCCTAAACTTTCACCTACAGTAATATCTGATACCAAATCTCCATTTGTTAACACTAAATCTAGTATGGCCTCTTTACGAGTTGGCTCCTCAACAACTTGTTTTAGAGACAATCCCAGTAGGACAAGCCGAGGTCAGGGAATCCAGGGAAATCAAGCAAACTGCCAAAGTACCATACAGAGTGATTTAGTAGTTCAGCTCTGTAAGGTAGACTTTGAAACAGTCTGTTATGCAGAGGGCGGGTAGGGATGGACAGGAGGGGCAATAATAACTGGAGTCCTTTCTGACTCCTCTTTTCCAGCAAACACGGAATTTTCATTGGGGTGACCTTTTACAGGGTGTGGGGGGGATTCGGGAAGGGAAATTTTTGCTGAAAAGTCGTTGGACATCTTCTGATTCCAAAGGAGGGTAAGGATTTGGGGTCTGGGCAAATATAATTTGAGACATAATTTGGACCATAAACTCTAGAATTGGGCATGGTCTACCTATGGCTTCCTTTTTATAAAGCACATAGGCATTGAAAATTGCGATCTGGGTTATGTAAATTGCAATTTTCTTGTACCAGGTCCTACTCTTCCGGTTCACCAGATAGGGCTGTATACACTGATCAGCCAAGTCTACTCCCCCCATAAACTTGCTGTAGTCAACAATGCACTTCGGCTTTTCCAGCTGCTCAGTTCCACCTCTCACAGACACTGGCACTGAAGTTTCGTCGTGCATTGTAGACAACATGTGCACATCTTTCCTATCGGTGAAGCGAAGGGCAAGCAACTCATCCTGGCGGAGCGCCGAAAGGGAGCCTCTACTGTGTCTACCTCTTGCCAGGGTTTGGGGGAAACCTCTACGATTCTTACGCACTGTGCCACAGGCTACGGTCTCAAGGCAAAATAGAGTTTTAAATAACTCTATGCTTGTGTAATAGTTGTCAACCCATAGCCTGTATCCCTTATTTAACAAGGGAAGGATTAGGTCCCATACTATCTTGCCACATGTACCCACAGAATCAGGGCATCCTGGTGGGTCAAGATGGCTATCCTTCCCCTGATAAATACGAAACGCCCATGTATATCCAGATTTTGATTCACACAATTTATAAAATTTTACTCCGTATCGGGACCGTTTAGAAGGGATATACTGTTTAAAAAGTAATCTACCCTTAAATTTCATTAAGGACTAATCTATACAAATATTTTCTTCAGGGACATAATTTGGGGAGAATTTGTCTGACAGTAGTTCAATTAGGGTCCGAATTTTGTACAGCCTGTCAAACATTGGGTCGTTTCTTGGGGGGCACAGTGTGTTGTCGTTAAAGTGGAGGAAACGCAGCAGCTGCTCATAGCGATCCCTCTTCATAACCCCAGGGAAAAGAGGGGTATCCAGGATGGGGTGCTTGTACCATTAGGACCTGATACTCGGCTTTTTGAGTTAGGGCCCAAAATTTGCGCATTTCTGCAAGATCCGTGGAGACCACATATTACGCCTATTGTAATGTGACCCCGGATTCGCAGTCAGATATTGGTTGGCAAATAAATTGGTTTGCTCAACCAATAACTGAAATACTTCCTCTGACATGAACAAATCAAAATATTTTAGGGGCTCCCAAGCATCCACCATAACAGTAATGCCAGGGGTCGCCGTAAATGGGGGAATATCTGGGGCCGTCAGGTTTGGGGGCACCCAGTCTCCTTCTGGCATTGGGCTTGCTGAGCGTCCTCTTGTTGGTGGTGGGGGTGGGGCACCATCACTAGAGGAGTCAGTCATAGCCTCAATGTCAGAGGCAGTGATAGTGTCACTGTCTTGCAGAGTGTCACTATCACTGCCTGCCAGAATGGCGTACGCCTCCTCCCTACTGCCTAACACCCTACTACCCACCCTCAAAAACTCACAAAAAATAAAATAAATGTACTGATCGCAGTTTAGGCTGCTGCGACCAGTACAGAAAGGGTTAATTTTTATTTATTTTTTTTGTTTTTTTTAATAAAAATAACCCCTCAAAAAAGTCAACCTGATCAGAGAGCCCTCTGATCACAGTGATCACTGGTACAATACTGTACAGTAGCAATACTGTACAGTACAGTGATCACGACAGCGGGGAAAGGGTTAAGGGTGATTTGGGCTGCTGCGGCTGACAAATGGTAAAAAAAAAAAAAAAAATGAAAAAAAACGTTTTGACCCTAAAAAAATTAAAATAATAATAGTACAAAATGTACTAAAATCCCTAAACAGGCTGATCACAGTTTTAAATGCTGTGACCAGCACTGGAAGGGTTAAAAATTTATTTATTTTTACTTTTTTTTTAATTTTACACAGGTTTTTCTCCAACAGGGCTCTCCAGCAACGATCTCTCTGCCTCTCTCTCTCAGATCGAAGTGAGGTGAGGAGAGGGGCAGAGACAATGTGTCAGCCAGTGATTTAAAATCATTGGCTGACACATTGTAACAGTGATCGCAGTGTCTGGGCAAACTCCAGGCAGGCCCCCCCCCACTGTGATCTGCAGTTTGGGAGGGATAGGGACAACGTGGGAGGTCCTAAACACCGCGGCGTGCTATGCCGCCGTGAAGGCGTTTAAGCCCATTAACGCTGGGATGGCATAGCACGCCGTAACGGTGTTAATGGGTTAAATTGTCCCCCCATAAAAAAATTATTACAACAATAATATATATATATGTATATTTTTTTAAATTCCTACTTAGTAGATATAACCCAATGGGAACATAAATGCATTTAATTATTCGTTCTTTTCATTGGGGGTATATCAAATGCTGCAGAGCTCTTATCTGCAACTTTTGCAATCCCTTCCTTTTTCCTAACACAGACTGAGCAGTTATTTACTTGTGCACTGCAGGGGTTATTTCTTAACATAAACATACATAAACAAATATATATATATATATATATATATATTGAAATGGAAATCAACTCAAATCGATTGATTATCCTTGTGTATCTGCCCCTGGCCAAATTAAAGAAACAATGCGTGCACGCTCCCTGAAGTAATTCACACCAGACACAAGTTTCAGGTAGTTGAATAACTTGAGGAATGTTTATTCAGAGGGGACGGCAAGTCCCTTTTAAAGCAAAATTACATCATAAGCATTGTCAGAGATAACATGGAATAATACGGTATTAATTGGTTAGGTGTTAAGTAGTTGCCTTAATGCTCTGCCTACTAGAGGTGATGTCACAGAGACCATGAGGGTCTCCCCCAGATCTCAGCGCCATCTTGTTACACGAGGTAGTTAGTCGAGGTTATAGGAAGGGAGGGGTTAGAAACTTCTAGCAGCCATTTTGTCTAAATATGCGTGAATAGCTTATCTACTGATTTCAGTGTGATGGGTAAATAGACATTTTACTAACTACAAAGATATAGGTGTATATGTCCATATTTTATTTTCACAACAGTCCCCCCTTAAAATGGCTATTTACCATAACAACTGCAGCTGTCCCTTACACATCCCTAGCTGCCTGCAGCTCATCTGTCTTAACGAGCATCGAACTCTTCACTCCGTGGGTAACCCGCGGTGGCTAGTCCACCACATCTCCACACGTGAGACTTGCCCGTAGAGACAGACGCTTTCCCTACAGGAGTGCAGTTGCCTGTTTAAAATGGTGAGGTTGGAGGGGTGTGTGTGGTGTGTCATAGTCTAGTTCAGTAACGTCTTGATGTAGGAAGGTAGGGGTTGCGTCATCTATAGTCTTCCCCACTGCTTTCTGTAAGTACCTTTGTATGCAAGGAAACACACAACAGATTAAAAACAAGAAGATAATGAGCACTATAAGGGCCGCTGTCCCAACCTGGAATAGAGTTCTCTGCCAACCATGCATCCATCCAAACCACCTGTCCCAGGTATCCATGACTCCTGAATTCCTCTTTAATTCATCCGAGAGACTGTCCAATTTCTCTATGGCCATAGTTACCTTACCATTGGGCCCAGTGTTATCTGGAATGAATGTACAACATGTCATGGTTTTGGGGAGAATCTTGTAAACGCCCCCCTTTTCTGCTAATATCAGGTCCAGGGCCATTCTATTTTGAAATGTCATTTGCGTGGTGGCTTGCAACTGTTCTGCCAGGCCCTGTAGGGCATCCCTGGTGTAATTAACAAACCGTTGTTGATTGTAATAGATATAGTTAATCCAATTGACATTCTTGTTAGCTGTGATCATGGGAATTAAGGATTCAAACCCAGCTGTCACTTCGTCTCTTGCTTTAAACTCATTAGGCACCCCCCTTGGCACACCTATGGCATCTATGTAAACATGTGGGTCAAAGCTACCACGGATTGGGGCCTCCCTTCTAGTTCTAGGGCTTGTATGTGTGTGATCTGACTCATCATGATAGCCATCAGGGATAATGTGGATGGGCATTATGGCTTTTGTTAGTGTACATTCTCCCCACCATAGCCCCACTAGCTGGGATCTTAGTTGCTTATCGCCACACAGCCAGTATATGTCCCCAACTGTCCTTACATGATTCATCAGTAATGTTGTAGGTGGATTGTGATAGGTAGAGCAGTAACCTGATGTAAATTTACCCATGTACAAACCTGTGTTTTTAGGTATTGAATAACAAGTGTAGTTACCTGGATACACAGTGACTCCGTCAGGTGGTTTAACATGTCCTTGGATAACAGGATAAACCTTTTTCCATGACTCACACATCGAGGAATTAGTAGTGGATTGTGCATAAAGACTCAAGACACATGACTCAACTTCGGGAGGTAGATTTAAAGGCACTGTGCCTAGGTGGGGCCTAGCTCCCCCACATACATAGCAGTTAGTCTTATTATGTGAATTAGCATTGTACCTCATCCATTCCAGCCATAGATTAGTGTCTGAAAACCCTGTCTCAACTGCCATGGTGTCCTCAAAGGTAGGGTTAGCAATAGCAACCATGTCATGCAAAGTTTTAATGTGAGGTTTGAGTGGATTGATGGTCATATGTGTGGTGCCTACACATATGCCTCAGACGAGTTAAACATGTCTTGTAAATAAAATGTCCCCAGCTTGTTGTATGAGCCGCCCCCCTTCCAATACATGCCCATTACATATTCCCCTGCATCCCCAGGACTTGGATGCTCTATGTTTAGAGTGAGTTTGATGGGGGTTGACCCAGTAGGTTTGGTTAAGGTAATTCTAGAGAGTAGGGGCTTCCCGTCCTGGTCAAGTCTGTCAAGGGCACTCTGTGGTTTATATCCCCATGGCCTGCCCGTGTTCCACCCGGCTGCTTTCCATGAACTACAATGATGGCCCCAAGACCCCCCAGTCACACAAATATACGGATCTTTTTTTTACTGGGTATGTCTTTGTATATGGCTGCATACTGTGTTTGTGGGAAGGTGCAAGTAACAATATCACAATAATCTAAGGTAAATGTAGCTACATCTGTGCATGAAGAATTGTACCAAAAAGTGTAAACATTGTTATCTTTGGTTATGGCCACCTGTTGGGCCCATGCAAAACTTAGCAGCATAAAGAAACACAGGAGATACAACAAATTCATGGCTCAGCGGGGGTGGTTTCTCCTGGAGCAGGCACTTTCTTGCAGTGTGAGGCGTGTATCCAGGAACTCTTCCCAGCCAACTTGACAGAGGTAGCTGTAATTAGGAGTACTTGGTAAGGACCATCAAATATTGGCTCAAGAGTGTGTTTTCTGAGAAATTTCTTGACCATAACCCAATCACCGGGAAGCAACTTGTGTGTACCTGTATTTGACTCAGGATCTGGAATAGAAGAAAACACTTGGGCATGGATTTTGGTCAAGGCACGAGAGAGAGCAGTTACATAATCTACCATAGCATCTGACTGTATCTGAAGTTGCTGAGGGAAATAGCAACCTAATCTGGGTGCAGTGCCAAACAGAATCTCATAGGGAGATAAATTGCATTTCCCCCTAGGGGTATACCTTACACTGAATAGTGCTAATGGGAGACTCTCGGGCCAGGGCATGTTAGTTTCTTGGGACATCTTGAGCATTCTGGCCTTTAATGTGCCATTCATGCGTTCTTGAATTCCTTGCCACTACTCTGTGGGTGATATGGCGTGTGGAAGGCAAGGGTCACCCCCAGTGCTGTCCAGACTTCCCATGTTAATGAGGCAGTGAAGGAAGTTCCTTGAATGCTTTCAATTACTTCTGGAACACCGTATCTGCAAACAATTTCTGTTAGAAGATGTTTAGCTGTTGTCCTGGCAGTAAGGTTGGCCACAGGGAAAGCTTCTGGCCATCCTGAGAACATGTCCACAATGACTAATGCATATTCATAGCGCCCACTCTTTGGCATCTGGATGTGGTCAATCTGTATTCTCTGGAAAGGGTATTGTGGTTTGGCCAAATGGTTGGGTGCAGTCTTAACAATCTTCCCAGGGTTACATTTGGCACAAATTGCACAGGATTTACAATAATTCTGTGTCAAGGTAGTAATGCCTGGTGCTTCAAAGTATTTAACAATCAGAGAGTTCATCAGGTGCTTCGACAAGTGAGCTGGTCCATGAGCCCATTGGACAACCGCTGGATACATATTTTTGGGTAGACAGAACTTAAGATTAATGGTGTAAACATCATCCTGGAGAATGGCTCCCTTGCTCTTCCAACTGTGTTTTTCCTGGGGGGTCGCAGCAGCTTGCTGCTCCTTCAGAAGTTTGAGATCCGTAGGCAGTGTTTGCATAGTATAGACAGGTGTTGTTTCGATAGCCACTCTTCTGTCCACTTCCCACCCTTGTCGTGCTGCGTCCTTGGCAGCTTGATCAGCTAGATGATTGCCTCGTGCTTCTTCTGAGTTCAGTCTTCCATGGGCTTTCACTTTAAGTACTGCTACCTCTGCTGGCAGTACCAAGGCGTCCATTAGTTCTTTAATGGCTAGGCCATGTTTTACTGGGGTTCCAGCAGCTGTGAGGAATTCTTTGGTTTTCCAAATTAGGCCAAAATCATGTGCTACTCCCAAAGCATATCTTGAATCTGTATAGATATTAACACGTAGGCCCTCAGATAATTTGCAGGCCACTGTGAGGGCTATTAGCTCAGCTTCCTGTGCTGATTTAGTTAATGGAAGCGCAGCTGCTTGTAGTACTTGGTATTCTGTGGTAACTGCATATCCAGTGTGATACTGCCCTTGTTCATCAGCAAATCTAGAACCATCCACAAACAATGTCTGGTCTGGATTGGGTAGAGCAACTTCATGTACAGTTGGTAAGTGGGTGGTTTCCATCTTTATTTGTTCGAAGCAATCATGAGGGGCCTCTGGATCCTGTTCCATAGGTGGGAGGTCTTCACAGATTTCTGTGTGATGTCGAGGAAATCCTGTTGTGTTACAATTGATGACTCTTTTAGTAACTCCCGATGATTCAAGTTGTTCTTGGGTCAAAGCGCTCCAGGATTTGGCCATTGGGCCAAGATCTTGCCATAGGGTACCAGGGGACTTGGTGAGAGATTGGTGTGGAACAGCCGTTTCCCAATGGCAGTAGAGGTGAGACACCCCTGCTGGAAGGTGTACCAATAGGAGCATGTTGCATCTGGAGTCCCACAACAGGTCTGTCAATGTGATGTGAATTTCAACCAGTTGGAATAGTTCTTCTTCATAATCCACATCAGGGCCTGGATTGTCTTTAAACCATAGGGTGCAATGTAACATGTCTGATTGTCGATCATGAGGAATTGTAAAAGTGGGCAGCTGGAACTCCATTCGGGCATCTGGGTTGATATCCAGGCTGTACCAGTGTTGTGCTACTCCCCCCTTGGGAAGTGGCAGAAGAGTGGCACGATTCAGCGAGTAGCAGCGTTGAAGAGTAACATTGTCTGGTAGCAATAATGAGGTTTGCAACCTCAAGTAACGTTGAGAGGAAAGATGTCGTGGTTGTGTTTGCTGGAGAATTGCAGAAATATCATGTGGAGCCAAGACGGTTAGAGAATGCCCAAGAACAAAGGCATTAGTCTTGTCCAGGAGAGCACTGGCAGCAAATACAGCTCTAAGACAGGAAGGGCTGCCTCTGGCAACAGGATCAAGCATGCATGAAAAATAGCCAATAGGTCTTTGTCTGGAGCCATGTTGTTGAGTGAGAACTCCGGAAGCGTGGCCCAGTTTTTCAGACACGAACAGCTTAAAGGGCAACTGGTAGTTCGGTAAGCCCAGGGAGGGGGCAGATGCAATGGCTTTCTTTAAAGAAGTGAAACAATCAAGAGCATGTGGTGAGAGTGAGAAGGGATCGTGTTTCAAGACATCATATAGTGGCTGCATTAGCTGAGAAGCGTCTGGAATCTAGGATCTACAATAAGCGATCAGGCCTAAGAAGGCATGGAGAGATTGGTGTGTAGAAGGGATAGGCAGATTCAGGATAGCTAGGATCCTATCTTTTGTAAGGTGACGGGTGCCATGGGAAAGGCAATGTCCCAAGAAGACCACTGAGGGCCGGCACCATTGGAGTTTCGATTTCGAGGCCTTGCAGCCTGCTTCAGCCAGGAAACAGAGGAGATCTTTGGAGACTCGTTCAGCAGTTTGAAGATCATCAGCGCAGAGAAGTAGATCATCAACATATTGATGCAGTACCACATCAGTGTGTGTCTTTTGCCAGGGTTCCAGGACCAGTGACATGGCATGGGCAAACTGGGTGGGTGAATTCTGAGCCTCCTGGGGCATAACAGTCCATGTGTATTGCTGGCCCTCATGAGTGAAGGCGAAAAGGTATTGGCAAGATGGATCCAGGGAAACACTGAAAAAGGCATTAGCAAGATCCACAACTGTGAAGATTGTGGCAGAGGGTGGAACC